ACTTCGATAAATTTAAAAAAGCTTTTAAATCGCTTTTTTAAAATTTAAATAAAAAACGATAAACTGAGCGTAATATATTATAACTCCGATAAATTAAATTAATAAAGGACTATTTAACCGAGTTTAAATACTTTAATATTTAACTTAATCTTATTAATAATATTAAAATTTTTATATTTTATTAAAAATTAAAAAATAAGGTTAAGGATAAACTTACTAAAATTAATAAACTAAACGATTTCTTTTAATATACTAAATTTATAATTAAAATCGATAACCGTTTTTATAAAAAAAAAAAAAAAAATAATAAAAACCTAACTTAAGATATAAATATTAATAGTAACCTTAATATAACTTTAACTAAAAATACCGTTATAATAAAAATAATAATTTTTAATAAACTACCGCTTATAAATAATATAACGGACTTATAAACCTTAATATAATAAAATAAAACTAATCCCGTTAAAAAAAAATTTAAATATTATAATTACGATAAGTTAGGATATATAGCTAGAGACTATAAATAGCCTAAACGAATTTAATAATAACCTATCTTTAAAAAATAAATTAATATTACTTCTAAAGAAATATTTTATAAATTATTTTTTTAAACCATATACTACGACGATAATTACCTTACCTATCGAGATAGTAAAGAATAATTAAAATAATACCTTAAGAAACCCTTTAATAAGACCTTTATTATAATAAATAAATAAAAAATAGTTTAATGCCCTAAAACTATTAAAAACTATAATAAAAAGTATATCTAAATATTATTAATAATATACAAAATAATTAAAATATAACTTATTAGCTTTTTTAATTAAATATAAACCCTTACGATAATAAAAAATAAATTAAAAAAAAGGATAATAATTAAAAATAAAAACGACCTATTTTAATTAAAAAATAAAATCTTAGCCCGTAAAATATAAATTCTAAATAAATCTATTTATATAATACGATAAATACTTAATAAAATAATTTAATATTACGAATATCGCCTTTTAATAATAAAAAATTATAATAAAAACTATATCCATATATTAATTAATTATTATAAAACTAACCGATTATTAAAAAAAAAACGATTAAATATAAAAATAATACTCGCCCTATTTTAATAACGACTTTAAAAATAATTAAAAACTAAAACGAAAAAAAACCTTTTTTAATTAAAATATAAAATCGATAAAAAAATAAATATTATATATTTAATATACGGACCTTAAATATTAAAAGAACGTTATTATTAACGTATTAAAAAACTAAATAAAGCCTATTATACGATAAACGCTTATATTTTTTAATATCCGATTATAAAAATAGTTTTTATTATTTTAAAATAGCGAATATATAAATAATTTAAAATAATAATAAAAAATAATATACTTTATTTAAAACAAAACTTTCCTATGTTTAAAAAAAATATTAAATTAAATAACTTAAATAAAAAAACTACCGACGATATATTTACAAAATTTAATATTAAAAGACCGGATTACGACCCCTTTTTAAATAATATTAATATATTAAATTACGAATAGCTTATAAATTAATAATCGCTTTATAATTTAAATAAACCTTATAATATCGCTTAACGACGTACTTAATTAGAAATTAATTATAAGATACTACCTAATATTAACGATTTTATTATTAAAAAAGAAGCCGATTTAAATAAGTAATTAAAATAATAAAAATCTATAAACTTTTAAAAAAAACTAAATTAATTTACTAAAAACTTAAAAAACTACTTATATAACCGATATATTTTAAATATATAATTTAATATTAAAATATTTAAAAATTATAAATTATTTCTTAAAGGGAAAGAACCTATTAATAAAAAAATAAACGATATTTACGATATTATTAACGTATTATATTTACTTATTAAAAAATAAAAGCGTTTTAATTTAATAACTAATTATAAACGGTTTATAAAAAAAAACGAGTATTAATTTTTAAAATATTAAAAAATTAAATATATTAATTATAAAAAAATAACGAAAAACGGTTAAAATAAATAAATTCCTATATTTTATAATACTCTTTAACAAGGAATATTTACGATTTAAATTCTAAATAAACGAACACGATATAAATATTATTATTAATAGCGGCGCTTAAGGAATTTTTATTTTATTAAAAATAATAAATAAATATAAATTATTATAAATATAGAAAATAAACCTATATACTTTATAAATAATAAAAAAAAAATAAGTTAATTATAATAATAGATATATTAACTAAAAGATTATATACCTTATAATATATATTAATAATTAACTAAAACAACTAAAATATAATATTATAAAGATTAAAAATACCGATATTATTTTAAAAATCTCGTAGTTATAAAAATATAATTTATAAATAAATTAAAAAACCGGCTAATTTTATTAAATAAACTTAATTATTAAACGATTTAATAAAAAGGGTTTAAATAAATCTTACGTAATACTTAATAAATAAAAATAAACTAAATATATTACCTTTATTAAAACGATAAAACTTATTAAAATATTCGTACTTAGTATAAACGATCGAAGATCGGACCTATTTTAAATTATACTTAAAAAATACCGGATTTATATAAAACTATTCGTTTTAAAAAAAAAATAGGACTATTAAAATATAATAATTAAAATATAAAAATCGAACTAAAAAAAAAAATATAATTTAAATTTTATTTATTATATTTTATAAATTAATTTAAACGCAATAAACTTAACGAATATATTAACGATAGACTTAAAAAAAGTTATATTAAATTATTATCTTTTTTAATAAGAGTATTAATTTTTTTTATATTTAAGAAAAATAAAAAAAAGCTTAGACTTATAATTAATTATAAAAAACTTAACGAAATTATTAAAAAGAATTATTATTTATTACCTTTTATTATAAAATTTAAAGAAATATTATACGGAGCCTAATAGTTTACTATAATAAATTTTAAAAAAATATTTAATTAAATTAAAATTAAAAAAAAAATAAATAAAAAACGGTATTTTAAACCCGTAAAAGATTTTACGAATATTTAATTATACTTTTTAAACTTATTAACGTACCTATTATATTTTAAATAATAATTAATTATATATTTAAAAAGTACGTTAATATTTTTATAATCGTTTATTTTAATAATATCCTTATTTTTTTTTTAATTTTAAAATATATAAAAAATACGTTTATATAATATTTTAAAAACTTTAAAATATAAAGCTCTTTATTAAGCCTAATAAATACGAATTTTATATATAAAAAATAAATTTCCTTAGTTATATAATTATATTAAAATAAATCTATATATAAATATTTAAAATAATAATAATTAAAAACTAGCCTATACTTATTAATATTAAAAACGTATAGTTATTTTTAAAATTCGTTAATTTTTATTAACGATTCTTTAAGGATTATATTAATATTATTAGACCTTTTAATAATTTAATAAAAAAAATATAATTTTTATTTAGGATAAAAAATATAAAAAAGCTTTTAATAAAGTTAAGGATTTAATTATTTTAAAATTAGTAATTATAATCCCGGACTTAAAAAAACTATTTAAAATCGAGACCGACGCCTCGGACTTCGCTATAAAAGTTATTTTAAAATAATAAAATTAATAAAAAGTATTTTATTTTTATATATTTTATTCTAAAGCGTTTTATAAAATAAAACTAAACTAATAAATTTATAATAAAAAATTAATAACTATAATTAAAACTTTTAAAAAATAAAAATTATAGTTTTTAAAAACTAAATACGAAATTATTATTTATATAGATTATAAGAACCTTATAAACTTTATAATAAATAAAAATCTAAATAAACGATAAATTAAATAAAATAAATTCTTATTTAAATTTAATTTCCGAATTATTTATCGGAAAGGTTTAAAAAATAATAAAATAAACGCTTTTAATAAATGACCTAATTACAAAGTTACGGTCCCTAAGGAAATATAAGTAATCCTTAAATATAATGATAACAGTAATCTTATACTTATTATAAAACTTTTTATAATAATTAAAAAAGTTAATACTAGCTTATTTAAAAAAATAATTCCTAAGCTTATTATAAAAGTTTATAATATTTAAATATACGGTTACTAAAGTATTATAAAAATATAAAAACGGATTTACTAATATTATAATAAATCCGCTATAAAAATAAAAATTACTAAAGTTATTAAAAACTACGATATTTATAAAAAAAACAAAAATAGCCTTTATAAACTTTATAAAAAGCTATAACTATTATTAATATTACTAAAAATATAATATTTAATCTCTTAAGATTTTATTATTAAATTATTAAAATCTAAAAAACTACTTACGAATATATAATATAATAATATCTTAATTATTATTAACTAACTTACTAAGTTCGCTTATTTTATATTATATAAAAAAGTAAATAATATTAAAAAATTAATATATACCTTCCTTAAAATAATTATTATTAACTACGGTTTACTTAAAAAAATAGTTTTTAATAAAAATAAGCTATTTATCGTTAAATTTTAAAAATTTTTAATCTCATAGCTCGGTATAGATTATAAACTATCGACCTTTTTCTATTTATAAACCGATAAATAAACGAAAAAAATTAATAAAATTCTTAAAATATACCTCCGTTACTATATAAATTATAACTAAAATAATTAAATATTATTATTATTAATAGCTTAGTTTATATATAATAGCGTAGTTAATAAAAATATAAAAAAATCCCCTTTTTATTTTAACTATAGATTTTAATTAACTATATATAAAAAAGTATATAAAAGACTATAGGCTATAAAAGCCGTAATAAATATAAATAAACTTAAGAAAATCTAAAAAAAAGCCTTCTTAAACCTTAAATTTATATAGTAATATATAAAAAAATATACTGATAAATTAAAAATTAATAAATTAATTTTAAAAAAGGGAGATAATATATATCTCCTTCGTTATAATATTAAAACAAAACGACTAAACGATAAATTAAATTATAAAAAACTTAAACCTTTTAAAATTATTAAAAAAGTTTTACTAATTAATTTTAAACTAAAACTCCTAAATACGATACGATACTACTCGGTTTTTTATATCTTACTCCTAAAGCCGGTATTTAAAAGTTTATATATTAAAGATTGTATTATCGTCGAACTTAATAAACTAAAATATAAAATCGAATAAATTATCGATTACCAAATTAAAAAAGGATATAAAAAGTACCTTATTAAATAAAAAGATTATAAATATAAAGATAATATATAAAAACTTATTACGAATTTTTAAAACTCTTAATAGCTTTTTAAAAAGTATTAAAATTAAATTTAAACTTAGAATTCTTAATTATTACGGCGTCCTAATCGATAATGTTAAAAGTATTATTAACTTACGCCTCTTAAGTTATTAAAAAAACACTCTCGGTATCTTTAAAAAATTCCTTCGATACGATACGACTTTTTTTAAATATTATTCGTTTTTAAAAATAAAAGTATTTTAATTTAAATAACGACTTATTTAATTTAGCTTAAGCCTTTTAATAAGCCTTAGCTTTTTTTTATAACTTTATAACTTTTTTTTAAAACTGCGACTTTTTTATTTATTTTTTATAATTAAAACGATTGAACTCTATTACTAAACGATTTATTATACTTATTAATCGGGACTTATAAAAAATAATTTTTAAAAAACTTATAAGTATAGATAATATTAATAAAAATATTATATAAAATACCTAAATAATAGTATATTTTATAAATATTAAAATTAAAAAAAACTAAATAACGAATATTTTAAAAATAATAATTTGAGTACGGCATTATTTCTATACTTTTATTAAAAAAACGAATAATATATAATAAATAGCGACGAAATATAATTATTTACGATTTCGATTTTTTAATTCGATTTAATATAATATTAATATATTTTAATAAAAACATTTAACGATTCCCTAATTTAAAAATAAATAACCTATTTATAAACCTAAAGACTAAATTTTTAAAAAAAAGAGTTAATATTACGATTTAATATATATTACTAAACTAAGGCCTTGCCCCACAGGACCTGCGGCGGTTACTATATTATATATATAGTAATAAGAATTTAAACGGCCTTTCTTAGGATAAAAGAATTATAAATAAGTTATATAATTACGATCGTATAATAAAATAAAAAACGGACGCCCGTAAATAAGTAAGACGGGCGATTATAGAAATATAAGATAAACGACCGCTTAGTAAACGGTTAAATAATAATAAATAAAATATTATAAAAAATATATTTATAATTAAGATTTATATATAGGATAGCTTAAACTAGGCTTAAAGATAGACTTTTATAACTTCTTTAATAATTAATTTTTATATTAAATCTAACGATTACTTTTAGTTATCTTTATTAAAAACTTATTTAATAAGATTATAATTAATTATTAAAGCCTTATTTACTTTACGACTTATAAATAATAACTTTATTAAAACTATTCTTATAACGACTACTATTTATAAATATCGTAGCCCCGATTTTTATTAACACAAACTTTACTACGACTAACTAGCCGTAATAAGCGTTCGGTAATATATATCGTAATATATTTTTATTTTTATTATTAATAATTAAATAGTTTCCTATATTTTTTATTAGATATATAATTATTTAAATCCGAAATCGATAAGGTTTTATATTATTAAAAAGAGGAAGGATTTAACTAATCGACTAAAAAAGATTTCGTATAAAATCTATTTTATAATAATAAAAATTAATATATTAAAAACTATAAAGATATAGGGGAGCACCTATTTTTAATTAAAATAATTAAATTATACGCCGATTATAAAACGAAAAGCGTAAATTAATATTTAAATATTTTTCTCGGCTTATTTATTAGTTTAATAATAATATATAGTTAAAACTTTAATTTCGATATTAACTACTCGATAAAGGGATATTTATAAGGCTACGACGAGTTTAGGGTCGACGTCGGAAATAAAAATATCTAAAAGTCCTTAATCGGGATAGACTTATTATATATAAGCGTCGGCCTAATTCTCGGCTATCTAGTCTATATTATTAATAATAATTTTAATAAATTTAGATATATTATTAATAATAAATAGAATCGTATTATATTTTTATATAAACTAAGGGAAAGAGACTATAAAATCGAGATAAATTATAAACAAAGGGACCCTCGGGGAGTTAATAAGCTATATATTATTATATATTAAATATCATAATAGTTTTAATTTACTATATTTAAAATAAGTCGTAATATAAAATAAAAAATAGCAATATATATTAAAAAAAAATATATATTATAAAAAGTAATATGCTTTTATTATATTAATATATACGCGGTTATTATATACTATTTTATATATATTCGTAATAATAAAATAAAGGATATAAAGTTATTAATCGTTTTTATTATAAAAATAAAAAAGACTATTAGAGTTTTTTAAAAATAAATAAAAACGGTTAGATTTAATTTTAATTATATTATTATAAATACGATAGAAAATAAGATTTATTAAAAAGTTATTAATAATTTTTATTTAAAAATCGTTGGATATTATAAGTTCGGTAATAATCATTTTTAAAGTCGGTAAGTCGTCTTAAATAAAAGTCTTTATACTACGGTTTTTTTTTAATAGTTTAGGCTTTTATTATTATATAAATTTATTAAATAGGGGCGGGGGGGTTAGGAGTAAGCTAAGGGGTTAAAATCGATTTAATATTAAATAAAAGATCCGTAAACTTAATTAATATATTAAAATCGGTTTTTAAAAAATCGTTATTTTTATTATTTAAAAACGACGTAAAAAGCAAAGGTTCGGAAATCGGAAAATATAATAAAATATCGGCGTTTAAATAGGTTTTATTTAATCGATATTAAATAGTTAATCGGTCGGCTTATTTAGCAAAGTTAAGTTTTTAATTAATAAATCGATATCGTCCTTTAAGTTTATCGGTTCCGATTATTTAAAACGTATTACGAATAATTAAATAATTTATAAAAACGTATATTTTCTTATTATTAAAATAATACTTAAGCTTTTATAAAGCTTAAACAAAACTAAGGGTTTTAATTTTTATTACTATATAATTAGCTTTTATAAAAGTTAATATTTAAAAAATAAAAAAAATAAAACGGTTTTTTTTATTTAATTAAATTTAATATATTACGGCTTTAAAATTTTTCTTATTAATATTAATATAAAAAATAAAAAGTTTATTATAATTTAAAAAGGCAAGATTTATAATTTTAATAAGCTTATATTTAAAACGATCTTAAACTTTTTTAATATTAATTTAAAAATCTTCGCGTTAAATATTTTTTTTTTTAAATAGCCTTTTTTATAATAAATATAATATTATTAATAAAAAGTAAAAGAAATAATTAATAATTATTAATAAAAGATTTGAGTTATAGATTTTTATAAGGTATATTACGGAAGTTAAATATTTTAATTTTATTAAAGGGGTTTATAATAATAGCGAATTTAAAAATAAACTCTTAATAATAATTTATTAAATTAAGACTATTTTTTAAATTATAAAAAGTACGAGGTATATTAAAAATTAAAATAGCTTTAGTTTTTTATTTTATAATACTAAATCTAAATCGTAAAACGTAATAACTTAAGGCTTTTAAACCTAATTAAACGAAATAATATTTAAATAAAAATAAAATATAACTAAATTTCTTAAAAAGTTTAAAAATAAAACGTAAATATTAAACGTAATTTTTTAATAAATAGGAATAAATAATAACGTCGTTAATATATATTACGATAAATTATTATAAATATATTTTAAAAAGCTTTTCTATACAATATTAAAAAAAGGCTAATAATATAATAAGGCTTATAATATTATAAATAAGACGTTCGTATCTTTAATATAATAAAACGAAAAAAGGTTTTTATTTATTTTTTAATATAATAAGTTAATTATAAAACCTTTTTATAATATTTATAATAAAGAAAATAATACTATTTTAAAAAGAACTAAGGATATTATTTTAATATAAAAAAGGGTATACGTTTATATAAAGTTTCGAATTAATATAATAAAGATCTATTATTATATAGGGCTTTTCGTTTTTCTAAATAATAAAAGCTAATACTATAAAAAAATAGGGCTTACCGAGGGGTATTTTTTTAATAATACCGATTTTATATAGGGGGTCTAAAATAAAGTCTATAACGGCTTTATCTTATTATAATATATTATATAATCGTTAATAAAAATCGGAAAAATCGGCGTTAATTTTAAAAAGGATAAGTATATAAATACCGTTATTAAATTTATTTACGCTAGTTTAAAAAAAAATACTTAAATTTATTAATAATATTTTAAATTTTAATTTTAAATTTTAATCTTTAATAATTAAAAATATCCGTTTTAATAAAAGGTTTATTTTTATTATAAATTTAAAATATATAAAAAGGGTAACTATCGGGATATTTAAGATCGATAAGGTCTTCTTTTATTTTATTAAGGCCGAATAGATTAGTAAAGGATATTATTAATAAAAGGTCCGTTACGAAATATTAACGATCTTTAATTACCATAACTTAAAATAATAAACCGAATCGTTAACTTTTTTAAATAATTATAAAAGCGTTACTAAAATTAATAAAAAAAAAGCTATATTTTAATTAATAATAATAATATATATTAAAAAACCGTAAGATAAGTATTAAAAGTTTAAAAAGGGTTAAAAATTAATAATATATTTATAAATAATAACGAGTAATAAAAGATATTTAAATAGAATATTAAAACCATATTTAGCTAAAATAATATATCTTTTAATAACGTATAATTAAGCGGATTTTTTATTTTAAATTCAGCGTTTAATAACGGATATAATTAAAATACGTTATTTTTATAAAGTAATAAAATAGTTATTTTCGTATTAATTACTTTATTCGATATTAAAAAGATATAATTATAAAAAATATTTATTAAGGATAAAATTATAAAAAAGTTTATTTATAACGTAAATAAAGTATTAAATTTTAAAAATAAAGCCGTCGAGACCTTATAAAATAATAAGGAGCTATATTAATATCAAAATATTTAATCCATTATTATTTATATTTTTAAAATAAAAAGGTTTATAAACTTATATTAATAAATTAAAAAAGAATTTCGTAAAAAAATCTTATTTAATAAAT